ATACGAAGCAGACGAATAAGACGACTACTAAGAATACTAAACAGAATAATAATACGCATTAACACTAATACGAATACGAATAATAAGAATAATAATGAGAACGCGAGTAACAATAGTAATTGGACTAGTAAGAATCATAATCATAATACTAATAATAGTACTAGTGGTATTAATACTAATACTAATGATAATACTCATACTAATAATACTAATATTAATAATACAACTAATTATAATAATACTAATCATAATATTATTAAGAACAATACTACTAATACTAATTATGGTAATGATAAAAATAATACTAATAATGCGAATAGTAATGATGATAATAATAATACTAATATTAATAATAATACTTGTACTAATACTAGTAATAATACTAGTAATACTAATACTACTATTAATCATACTAATAATAATAATACTCATGCTAGTAATAATAATACTAATAATAATAGTAATACTACTACTAATAATACCACTACTACTACTACTAATAATAATACTAATAATAATAATAATAATAATAATACTACTACTACTAATAATAATATTAATACTAATAATAATACTAATAATAATACTAATAACAATAATAATACTAATACTAATAATACTAATACTAATAAGACGAAAAATAAGAAACAGAGAACGAGGAGGAGGAGGAGGAGGACGAGGAGGAGGAGGAGGAGGCGGAGGAGGAGGAGGAGGAGGAGGAGGACGAAGACGAGGAGGAGGAGGAGGGGGAGGAGGAGAACGAGGACGAAGAGGAGGAGGAGGAGGACGAGGACGAGGATGAGGACGAGGAGGAGGAGGAGGGAGGAGGAGGAGGAGGAGGAGGAGGAGAGGAGGAGGAGGAGGAGGAGGAGGAGGAGGAGGGGGAGGAGGAGGAGGAGGAGGAGGAGGAGGAGGAGGAGGAGGAGGAGGAGGCGGAGGCGGAGGAGGAGGAGGAGGAGGAGGAGGAAGAGGAGGAGCAGGTGCAGGAGCAGAGGCAGAAACAGGAACAGGAACAGGAGGACGCAGGGGGACTATCAGTAGCATTGGGGTTTGGATCTGGAGGGCCAAGGGGGGGCAGGCGGGAGAGGAGAGGGATCAACATTACGTGATGGGAAATGGAGCAGGAGGTGCAAGAGGGACGGGGGGGGGAGAGGGGAGAGGGAGGGGCCACCGAGCAGAGGGCCCCTCGCGAGACCAAACCGGCAGGTGCCCCGCCGCCTCCGCGCTGTCGGCATTTCTTGGGTTCCCAGACCCCTGCCGACTGGACACGAAACGCGTCGGGGCGCACGTGGCGGGGGTCAGCGCTACAGTGAGGACGCTGGAAGAAACACAACTTTTGGCTCAGGGCGGGCTCTGGTTTTCAAACCGCTCCTGAGATCTAGGTCTGGGAGCCTATTCGTGGCCGAGGCTCGCCGTGGCGAGAAGAGCCCCTTACCTCCTTCTTCAGCGACCATTTTGGTTTCGCGGTGACTGCAACGGGGGTCAGCTAATCCCCTCTGGTTCCTTCTTACTGATCCACGCTTGGGAGCCACGTGGGGCCCACCCCCCCCCTTTCCTTCCCTTCGCTGACTTGGGTTTGGGAGTTATCACGGGACTTGCCCAGGCTCTCGACACGGCCCTGGCTGACTCGGGTTAGCGCTGACCTGGGTAAGCGCCTCCCCGATTCTGGGATCCGTTCCAGTCGTCAGGACCAACGAGCAACGTCTCAGGGTGGAAAGGCGGCCCATGGGAAGCAGTCGAGAGAGTCCGGAGGGTTGGCGACCCCAAGAAATCAAGTCGTCGGGGGTCTGGGTCTTCCGGCGATGTTTGTCGGTGATCAGCGCTGACGCGGCTCTGTTCGGACCGCGGCGCTTACATGTTCAATCCTCGCCGGACGCGAGGAAAACAGCGTGAATGGAGGGGAGCAAGGGGGGAGGAGGAGGAGGAGGAGGAGTAGGAGGAGGAGGAGGAGGAGGAGGAGGAGGAGGAGGAGGAGGAGGAGGAGGAGAGGCGGAGGAGGAGGCGGAGGAGGAGGAGGAGTAATACTACAAATGGTACGTCGAATCGTAATAATATGACTACTAAAATAATCAGCATAATACCAGAGGGAGGAGCGGGAGAAGGAGGAGGAGGACGAGTAACGAGTAGTATTCAGAGTCGTAATCATGCTACACATGCTCGTCGTAGTAGCTGTTGGAATTCTGTTTCTAATCTTTTCGATCAGACAAGTAACAGTAGTACTATCAACCATCATGAGACGAATCCTAACAGTAATGGAACTAAGAAAAAGAGGATGATCATAACAAATAGGACGAGTCTTGATATTACCACTTACATGCATACTAATAACCCTAACAATAATGATACGAACGCTACAAATCATACGAACAACAATGACCAGACTGGTTATTCTAAGAAGCATATACTACAACTAACAATAAACAGCATACGAATCAGAGGAATCATACGACGCATGGGAATACTGATGTGATTATCATTCGTGCTAATGTGGATACGAATATGGATCATCATAGTACTAGTACCATGCGTACGAATCAGAGTTTAGTACGAATAACCATTAACTACTTACTTATATTATGAGTACGAAACAGACTAAGAAGGGGAATAGGTGGATGATGAGAAGGAAGAGAACAGTGCAAACCCAAGACTTATCAACGATGTTGGAATCATCCCCTCCTCCAAGCTCCCTCTTCACAGTCCCATGCAAGGACTCATTTTCACTGAGGGAAGTGCTGCGTTGGGGGACAACTGCTTGAAGCTCCCGAAGCGTGCCAAAACACCGTTCCTGGCACGTCATCATCGCGAATCAAAGTAGCTGTTGCGCCCTGACCGTCCTGAATCGTTCCAACACATTCCTGGTGCGTTAACCATGCGAACGCGTGAAAGCCTTGCAATGCTTTTGGACGTCTGTGCGCGGCGATAAGGCGATAACCACAGTTTGAAAAGGAACTGCCCTCAATCCGTGAAGCTCTTGCATGTTTTAAAGACCAATGTGCGTTGTGCTCAGGCGGGAATCACATTTTGAAACCACCCGCCCTCCATCTGTGCAACTGTTGCCACTTTTTAGCTTCAGGGCCATACGTGGTGAGGAGGTCTCTGGCGAAACGCTCGGCCCGCCCTTTCGACTGGCCTCGGGGCGGGACGGATGCGTTATTCTTAAGGGAAAAAGAAAGGGAGGAGGAGGAGGAGGAGGAGGAGGAGGAGGAGGAGGAGGAGGAGGAGGACGAGGAGGAGGAGGAGGAGGAGGAGGAGGAGGAGGAGGAGGAGGAGAGGAGGTGATGGAGGAGTAGATGGAGGAGGAGATAGAGGAGGAGACCGAGGAGGGAGAGGAAAGAAAAGGGAAGGGGGAGGAAGGAGGGAGGGAAGGAGGGAGGAGTAGGAGGACGTCCATGAAGAGGAAGTACAGGACATGTTGATGAGATGAGGATGATGGTGGTGTTGTTGCTGCTTCTTCTGCTTCTGAGGAGGAGGAGGTCAGGATATGGTAATGACGCTTAGTGCAGAATGCGCATGCAGCATCGTCCAGGCGCAGAGTGAGGGGAGGTGGGTGAATGTGATCATGTATGCTCTTGTGGATGTCACGAGGTCCTTAACAGTTTTGGCTCAGGGGGACGAGAGCGGTTGCCTCTTGTGAGGTTCGGGGTGGTAGTGGCTGAGTGGCTGTCTCTCAGGGTCTGCCACCAAGCTGGCTGTGCTTGGCCATTCCGAAGCTGCCTTGGCTGAGTGCTACGTAGGCGCGGCGGCATTCAGGAAGCTGCTCTTGGGCGGGGACTACACTGAAGTCCACACTTCCGCGATCTCTCGACGCAAGCCTAGGGAAGGCAGGCGGCGGCGCTCAGGGAGGAAGTGCTTCCAGGGAGGCATGCTCATCGTTGCGATCCCGGAGGCGGGCTTCGTCCAGATTGCCACGAAGGCTGAGGCCCGTCCAGCAGAGGTGCGCGGACGTCCTCATCAGCGTCCTCCGCCCTGCACGTGGCATGGGCGCCCCTGCAGTCGCCCACTCCTGTGGCTGCGCCGGGGGCCGCGGTGCAGGAGGCCGATGAGCAGCACAAGTAGGAGGAGGAGAATGTGGCAGGATCCGTGGAGGATTCGACGGCCTGCAGCGCCGAGCGACCGAGGAGGAGGAGGAGGAGGAGGAGGAGGAGGAGGAGGAGGAGGAGTCAAGAGGAGGAGTGAAGAGGAGGAGTGGATGGGAGTGTAGTTGAGTGTAGTGTAGTGTAGTGTAGAGGAGTAGAGTGGAGTGGAGTGAAGCCCGTCACGCAAGCAAGTTAGTGACAAAACCACCTCGGACTCAACCACACTCGATCGCCTGACCTTCTGCCAGGTCTGGCTGAGGACTTTCGGCTTCCTGTGGGCCGCAGTCCGATTGAGGTATTCCTTCGGATTCCTATGTCCAGCTTCCTTGCGCGGCTTGTCCAAGAGACATAATTGTCTCTCGGCAGTTGCCCCGCACTTTGTGCACAACCAGGTACGTAGGAAAGTGTGTACGTTTAGTGTGCGAGACTCGTAAGCCCAGCTCCCCGCTATGCGAATACGGCCCCCACCTTCGGAGCCTGCAAAGCCCAATCGGCGTCATTTAAAGCTGGGCACGGTGTGGCCCACCAGGCTTTCACAGCCATTGCATTGCATTGCATTGACGCTGAGGGCAACAGTGCCCTTTACCTCGGCCAAGTCCGTGGCCGTGAGATGAGAGATGGTGAAAACCGTCGTGATCTGCCCGCCTCTGGGCTGAAACGCCGACCTGGAGCCACAAGTCCGCGTCGTGCCCCTCGGCTGACTCGCCTGACCTGCGAGCCATCCGTCCACCACGTGATCGTAGCCCGTGGCGTACACAGCAGGAGGAGGAGGAGGAGGAGGAAGAAGAGGAGGAAGAGGATGATGAGGAGGAGGGAGGAAGGAGGGTTGGGCATCGGTGGCGCTGGCCGCGGCCGCGGCGCGCGCCTTCGAGCTGCTGGAGTGGGCAGCTCCCCGCGCGAGCGCGCCGTCGCGAGCGCCTGGCCATGGACGCGGCCGCACCCATGGACGCGGACGAGGCGCGGGGGGGGGGGCGCGTGACATCCAGGTTGGAGATGGGAGGGGGGAGTGCCACCGCACCAGGCGCGATGATGCCCATGATGGTTATGGTGGTGATGATGGTGATGATTTGATGGTTATGAGGATGATGATCATGATGCTGATGATGATGATGGTGGTGGTTATGATGATGCTTATGATGTTGATGATGCTGACGACGCTGATGACGATGATGCTGATGAGAATGATGCAGATGCTGATGATGACGATGCTGCTGCTGATGACGACCTCGCTGATGATGCCGACGATGATGATGCTGATGCAGATGATGATTATGATGCTGATGATGCTGATGGTGATGATGATGCTGATGGCGATGATGATGCTGATGAATATAATGATGCTGATCATCATCATCATGCTGATGTTGATGTTGATGGTGGCGGTGGTGGCGATGATGATGCTGTTTCTGCGGATGATGAGCCAGCTGATGCTGATGCAGATGATAATGATGATGCTGATGATGATGCTGATGATGATGGTGATGATGATGGTAGTTGCGGTGCTGCGGACGACACTGCTTATGACGATGTTGAAGATGCCGATGCTAATGATAACGATGAGTCGGACGATAGCGAGGAGGAGACGGCGGAGACGATGTCGATGTCGAAGGCGACACTCACGATGACGATGACGATGCTGCTGATGATGATGATGGTGATGATGATGCTGATGCTGATGATGATGATGCTGATGCTGATGATGAGGACGATGCTGATGAAGTTTAGGGTGTGGATGAGGTTGACGATGCTGGCGATGCTGACAGCGACGACGATGTGGGGGCGATGGTGATGCTACTATTGATGCGTCTAATGGTTGTTCTGATGATTAGGGCGACGATGGTGATGATATTGATGATGCTGATGCTGAGGATGATGATGGTGCTGATAATACTGATGCTGATGGTGATGATGATGATGCTGGTGCGGATGATGAGGATGATGATTTTGATGGTGCTGATGATGATGATTCTGGTGGTGACGATGCTGCTACTGATGATGAACATGGTAATGTCGATGATGGTCATCATCTTGTGATGATGACGATGATGCTGTTGATGTCGACGTTCATTTTCATGACTATGGTGGTGCTGATGCTGATGGTGATGATGCTCATGATGATGCTGATGATGATTCTGCTGTTTACGATCATGATACGGACAATGATCTTGACGACGGTGATGATGCTGCCGTTGCTGATAATGCTGCGGGTGGTGATGATCAAGATTCTGGTGGTGGCGATGCATATGCTGATGCTGGTGATGGTGGTGATGATGATGATGATGATGATGATGATGCTGGCGATGGCGATGGCGAGGACGATGATGCTGATGATGATGATGATGATGATGATGCTGATGCTGATGATGGTGGTGATGATGATGGTGGTGGTGATGATGATGATGAGGAGGAGGAGGAGGCCTGGGGCAGATGTACACCAGCTTTGCTAGAAGACGCTGAACACATGGACTGGGGCACGTGCTCCCCCAGCTGGCACCTACGCCTGATGCTGATGATGAGGATGATGAGGATGATGATGATGAGGATGATGAGGATGATGAGGATGATTATGAGAATGATAATCATGAGGATGATGATGATGTTGATGTTGATTCTGATGATGATGATGATGATGATGATGATCATCATGCTGAGTATGCTGCCGGTGATACTTTTGGTGCTGCTGACGACGACGATGCTGATGATGATGAGGATGATGATGATGCTGATGCTGATGATGATGCTTATGACGATCACGATACTGATTATGATCATGATGATGGCGATGATGATGCTGATGATGATGATGGTCATGATGATGATGATGGTGTTGATGATGATGGTGATGATGACAGTTATGGTGATGATGATGCTGATGAGGATGATCATGATGATGATTATGCTGATCATGATGCGGTGATGATGATGATCATGATGATGATGGTGATAGTGTTGCTGCTGCTTCTGAGGATGATGATGCTGACGACGATGATGATGGTGATGATGATGACGATAATGATGATGATGATGCTAATGGTGAGGTTTGTGGTGGTGGTGGTGGTACATCTGATGATGGCGATGGTGATGGTGTTTGAGATGAGATGACGATGATGGTGTCGAATGTTGCTGCTATGGACGATCCTGATGATGGTGCTTCTGATGATGCTGATGATCATGATGACCATGATTATGATGATGCGTATGATGATTATGATGATGATGATGATGCTGATGCTGATGCTGATGCTGATGATGCTGCTGCTGATGATGATGATGACGATACTGATGCTGATGATGATGATGATGATGATGATGGTGCTGATGATGAGCATGATGATGATGATGATGATTATGATGATGATGATTATGATGATGATGATGATGATGATGATGATGATGATGATGCTGATGATGATGCTGATGCTGATGCTGATGATGATGATGATGATGATGATGATGATGATGATGATGATGATGATGATGATGATGACCATTCTGACGGTTCTGCTGATGCTGATGCGAATGCTGAGGTTTACGACGACGATGTTGACGATATTGATGATGGTGATGGTGCTCTGAAGCGGAGAGGAGGAGGAGGAGGAGGAGGAGGAAGAGGAGGAAGAGGAATAGGAGGAGGAGGAGGAGGTGGAGAAGGAGGAGGAGGAGGAGGAGGAGGCGGAGCAGGAGGAGAGCGAGCGAGCGAGCGGAAGCCGAGAGGCAGCAGTGTCAGTCCGCCCGACGGGTGGAGGCGTTCACAAACCTCTTATCGCCCCTGGGCCCAGACCTTGGAGAGCAGGGCCCGACGCCGTCCGCACTACAGGGTCCAGGCCCTGGGAGAGCGGGCCTGTGAACGCAGAGTGAAGCGGCCGCCTCGGCCGCGCAGAGGAGCACGGGGCCTGCGCCAGGCCCTTGCTCACCAGCGCCCAGTATGACCACCCATGGAGGGGCGAGCCCAGTACAATACTCCCGGCGTGGCTGCCAAGGGCAGCGTCACGTTGGGGTGGAAAAAAGGACAACAAGGTGAAATCGGTGAAGTATAGCAAACACCAGCCATTCACAAGTGGAAACCGTGGGATCATATCTAGCAACAGCCCCGCCGTGTGCAAACCACCTCACATAGGGAGCCAGTAGAGCTTCACTGGCGCCGACCCGCCGTGTGCAGTCCACCCATGAAGCGCAAGCCAAGGCCGCAACAGCATACAAACAGTCGGCTCACCAATTACCACATGTGGAAGTGGTGTGTTCACATCCGTCGGCATCACGCCGTGTGCAAGCAACACATGGTTGGAAATAGTAGAGCTACTCAGGCACCATCTCGCCGTGTGTTTCCCGCCCACCAGTGGCAATACGTACAGAACTGAACAAACTTCCAACGCCCGCGAGCCAGCAAGCTGCCCAGACCTGCACGAGTGCAGGAAGAACGCGCCAGACTGGACCCACGAGGCCGCTTGTCGGGAACGATGATGAATCGGCGACTTTGAATTTGCACCTCCAAGGGGCGACAGGATTTGGATCACCTGAAAAAGCAGGGTGCCTAATCGGACTCATCATCATCATCAATAACAGCACCATCATCATCAACATCAGCATCGCTGTCATCGTCATTGACATCGTGGCGCGTGCTCTCGATCTCGCGCCCGGTGCCGTGCCGACCCCTGCATCCTTGAGCAAGGCCACGGTGGTCGCGGGAGTCGGAACAAACATATTAGCAGCAAGCAGTGCAGACGATAACGACTTGAGGCGAGTCCAACATTGGGTACTCCACCAGCAAGTGATTGGCCACTTCCCAACGCTCCGGGAACCCGTCCAGCTCGTCAACAAGCTCCACGACAATTGGTGCCAGCCACTCGTCTGCCACGATGTTGGGGTTTGCGGCTGGCTGCTCGTCTGCTTCTCTTTCACAGGAAATTGTCATCTAATCCGTCTGCGTTAGCATCATACAGCCAAACGTGAAAGTTACCAAGACGTTTCAGAAGCATTTTGTGAAAGCGCCTGCAGCCCACAACGAATCAACATGATTGTCCTCGGGCATGTACAGCGTTGCTCCTTTCTTTGCCAGGGTACCTGCAGTGAAATGTTCCGTCTTCTCAAAGTCTGACAGGATACCTTCTCTCACGTCAGTCTGTGAGGCATGGGCTTTGATATATTTGAACTGCTGCAGGTGAACATCCTCATTGGCCGCGATGCGCTTCCAGATGATAGAAATCGGATTCGCAACACTCACCGGCTGCTGGGCGATATCTGCAATACGAAAGCGTGCTTTTGCAGTCTGAGACCACCCTTTACGTTCCCAGTCCCAGGTGAGAGACCATCGTCATTGCATAGTCCTCCCCACACTTTACAATTTGCAGTGGGCAAAGCGAGAACGGCACAGCTCCACAGTATCTTGCCTTCAATCGCCTTGCGTGATCATATACCACAGCCCACCCAGCACTCCTGAGACATGGAATGCTAGTGTGGAAACCGCTGCTGCCAGTGAACACAGATCCAGCATCAACACCTACAACTCGTTCTTGTCCATGCCGTGAAGGTGGTGAGAGGGCTTCTTGCTGGGGTAAGCGAAGGCTTGAGCAGGGTCAGGGAGCAGACCACAGCAAAACAACTGCTGCAGGGCCTCAGCAGCCTTTCGCATGCGCGCGACAGGCGTTATTTAATGCCTGCTTGAGCCAATGTTGTCGGAAAGCGTAGATCGCGTCACACTCGAAGAAGCGGTGGTGAAGCGTGCTTCGCACAGCCTGTTATCTCAGACAAACTTCCCGCTCCCCTTGAATGGCCTTTCAAATCCGATGTTGGCACCAGTGGGTTTCCGAGCATAATCCCCTGAGCGACCTTCTGCTCCTAGGATGCAGCTTGCTCTTCTTGGAGTGCAGAACTTACTTCAAGACACTCCAGGATGTGAGGCTCTTGTGGAACGCTCGGGCCACCTGATGAGACCTTGCTGAGGGCCTCGCCGTGCTGCT